GCCCCATCAGCGCCCACGCGGACACCCGGCTCCAGTCCCTCGAGGCCTAGAGCCATGGGACTTATCACTTTTACTCTGTCTTGGGCGGTGGACATGCGGACACCTGGCCCATTCCTGTGCCCAGATTGCGGCTCTGGCCAAAAGACTGACGCCCCCTCCCCACCCGCTTTGGGGTAGGGCCGCGCCTTTGCTGTCGAGGTTTCTTTAACCCCAATACCCGCCATGGTCTTAATTCTCTCCGGAGACAGCCTCGTTTCTCCTCCCGACGCAGCATCTGTCTCTCTATCTCGGTCTTTCATCTCCCCTGCATCCCCATTCATCTCTGTCCATGTATGAGTCTCCCCACTTCTTTCTTTCTTCTTTCTTTCAAATTTGCCATAGGGTGCGTGTGCACTTGTTGGAGAGTGACAGAGAATGAGGGCAAGGGAGAAAGAGAAGCCCTCCCCTCCCTCCCGGGGAGATAAGCACCCCACAATCCCTTCTCCTTTCCCTTCTCAGGATTTTGGGTTTGCACTGTCCACACCCCCCACGTGCCTTTCCAGGTGCCTGGTTGGAACTCTGGGTTGTACAGTCTGGGATCCAGCAACCTGGCTGTCCCAAGGGCCTCCCAGTCTGCCTCTCCATCTCTGTTTCTCCCCCTCTCTGTGTTTTTCTCCTCGGTCTCCCTGTCTTCTGAATCTCTTTCTCTCTCTCTCTCTCTGTGCAGCACCTTCCGGAGGGTTTCCACTGCCCTTTCTCATCAGCTTCTCTCCACTGTTTTCACACCTGCACTGTATGAGGTCCAGAACAGTTGCCCCAATTGCCCAGGAGTTCCAGGCCTGTCCCTTCATTCCCAGCCCCTAACTCTTTGTAAATAGAAAATGTTCTTCTTAATTTTTTTCTGCACCACACAGCCATTTGTGCCTAGAGCGAACTTCACCTTCTCCAACCAGCCGGGGGAGCAATTAATAATAATGTCACTTTATCAGGGAGACCACATAGGTTAGGATCCAAAGCACAGGTGCTGAAAGCAGACTGCCTGGGTTCAAATCCCTGCAGCAGCTTAGGGGCAAATTACTGAATCTCTTATGCCTCCGTTTTTCCTTCTGTTAAATGGAACTATTATCCTCCACATGGGATTATTGCCAAGGTGAAATGTCTTCATCTCTGTGAAGTGCTTTGAGTAGCATCTGGCAGACGGTGTGCTGTTGCCAGGCGCAGTGTTGCATGGTGGTGTGTGCAGCATCTGTGCCACGCGCTTCACCCGCATCGTCTCCCTTCTTTTACACTATGATCCTGGAATTGGGTCTGCTCCTGCAAACGAGGGCCTGGCTCCGAGAGGAATTCACTGGCCCAAGGTTACACAGTACTTCAGTTAGGGAGAGCCTGGGTCGGAAGGTGGAGAACTTGATGTTATTACTGGCTCTTCAAAGAATAACAGGAAGCTGAGGTTCAGAGAAGGGGCGTGAACGGCCCGCAGTCACACAGCTGAGAGACAGCAGAGGCACTGTCCGATCCCAAGCCTGTGCCTTTGACCCTGCCTCTGCAAACATCTCATGTCTGCGTAAGCTTTCCCCTTTATTCATGATAGACTTTGAGTGCACGAGAGAGCAAGAGAGAGGGGAGCACCTGCACAGGGTCTGGACACCCCACAGTCGCCTTCCTCCAGCTGTCCAGCCTGTCGCGTCCTAGGCACACGCGGGCGTGTTTTAGGCTGACCAGACTGGGGGTTTGAGTGGTGGCCACCGCGTCGGATTCATCTTCCCTTGAGTGGCTCATTACCTCTGCACCGATGAGCCAGCCTCTTACTCTGCAACTTACTCTGCAGCCCCCTTTGCTGCCAGCCATATGCTGGGCAGGCACAGACAGACAGGACTGCAGAGAAGGGAGCTTAGGACCCAGTCTCCAGAGGAAGAAACACATCCAGAGGGGAGAAGCTGCTCCTCCAAGGCCACACAGCTGAAAAATCCCAGAGTCAGACTCCAAGCTAATGCTGTCAGCGCTAGAACCCATGTGCTCAGACAGGCTGTGCCAGCTCGGCCCCTGCCGAATGCCTGACATCCTCTCTGTCTGCTCCTTCCACCTAGAGATCTATGACAATATCAAGCGCAGTCCCCACAGCATATACATGCTCTTTAACACGTCAGAGCTCCGAGAAGCGGTGCCCGACCCTCTGTTGCTCTCCCGGGCAGAGCTGCGCCTACTGAGGCTCAAGTTAAAGGTGGAGCAGCACGTAGAACTGTACCAGGTGAGAACATGAGCTAGGGGGTGGGACCACAGGTCCAGGGGCTGAGCTGTAGCCAAGGGGAAGGGCTGGAAGGCTGCTGGTGGCAAGACCCACATGGATGGAGGAGCAGAGATGTAGCGTCCTAGGGCTCCTTTAAGTTTTTCGACTAGGCCTTCTAGGATGTTGAACACACAGATGACTGGAATCTGGGGCCGTTCAGTGGCACAGCAGTGACGCATGCTCTGTGAGGCTGACTCCCAAGGAAGGTTCTGAGTTTGCATCCGGAGACCTCCCTGAGTACACCAGGCACACGCATGCCCGTGACCAGGGGCGGGCTGGCTGGGTGTATCAGGATGCTGTCTCTCTTCCTCTCTGTCTCTCTTACTCATGGGAGTAATGAGTAAATAATAATAATAATAAAAGGAGGCTGGGGGACCAGCAGTTGGAGTAATGGCTATGTCGCTGGACTCCCATGTAGTCAACCGCGGTTCGAGTCCCAGACCCAGTGGCTTAAACTCACGCTGGGCATGTGTGCATGTGTGTCCAAGATCCCGAGAGGAGAATGGAGGAGAAGGGATTGCGGCGTGGCCATCCCCCCTGGTGGGTGATTTCTCGCTTTCTTTCTCTCTGTGTCTTTCTGGTGAGCACATGCGCCCTATAGCAAAAACCTCTCCAAAAAAAAAGAAGGCTGGAATCTGAGATGTTGGATTCCCTAAGAATGCAGGATTCTTGAAAGTTGGAATCCCTGGAAAGGCTGGAGGCTCTAGGACTGCCCTGTCCACTATGGTAGCCACTAGTGACATTTACTTAATTAAAATTGGAATTGATTAATTTTTTTTCTTTTTCTTTGTTTTTGAGAGGTTTTTGCTATAAGGCGCATATGCTTGCCAGAAAGACAGAGACAGAAAGTGAGAAATCACCCCCCGGGGGGGTGGCCACACCACAATCCCTTTTCCTCCATTCTCCTCTCGGGATCTTGGGCACTCAGGCACACACGCGCCCGGCATGAGTTTAGAGTTTAAGCCACCAGGTCCGGGACTTGAACTGCGATCAACTACATGGGAGTTCAGTGACATAGCTATTACACCAACTACTGGTTCCGGAATTGGTTAAAATTAAATACAGATGCTCTTTGACTTACAGCCCAATAAATTTATTAGAAATAGAAGATAATGTAAACCGAAAATGCATTATTAGTTGAAACTATTCCAAGTCATGAGTCCTCTGACTTAAGACTAGGTTACAGGGGTCGGCAAAGTGCTATGGAGGTTAAGGCACTGGACTCCAATATAGCCAATTGCGGTACTAGTCCTACACTTGGCATCTTGAAAATCAGGCCAGGTGCATGTGCATGCGTGCCCAGACTCCCAGGAGAAGATTGGAGAAGGGATTGTGGTGTGGCCATTCCCCCTGAAGTGTGATTTCTCAGCTTCCTGCTCTCGTCTCTCTCTGGCAAGCACACATGCCCTATGGCAAAAAAAAAAAAAAAAAGATTGGGTTTCATTTCTTCTGAGTGTGTATCACTTTTGCACCATCATAACGTCCAAAAAGTCCTAAATCTAACAGCTGAAAGTCAGGAAGCATCTGTGTTTCAAGTGCTCTGTAGTCATGTGGTTAATGACTGCTATTTTAGAAGTTTCAGATAAAGAACATTTCCACAGAGTCTTTTAAAGCCAGTGCTGCTCTAGAAGATATGGTGTCTCCAGGAAGATGGGGGCTTCTTGAAGGACTATATATATATTATTTGCACATGTACTCACTAGAGAGAGAGAGAGAAATTACCTCCTAAGGGGATGGCCACACTGCAATCCCTTCTCCATTCTTCTCTCAGGATTTTGGGCATGCACGCATATGCATTCGGCATGTTTTACAAGCCGCCAGGTCTGGGACTTGAACCGCACTGTCAGCCATGTGGGGTCCAGCTGCCTTAACCACCACACCACCTGACTGACCTGGCTGTAGTCTTTAGAAGGCTAAATGACTAGAATTCATGTCATGGCAGGTTATACCTGTGGAGTGGTAGATGTTAAACTTACAGTGAGAGAAGTTGGCCTAATGTTAGCTTGTTAGAATCTAGAAATTTAACTTCAGGGTGAGCTCTATAGCTCAGTTGGCATAATGGCTATGTTGTTGGACACCCACGTAGCTAACTGTGGTTTGAGTCCCAAACCTGGTGGCTTAAACTCATGCCGGGTGCATGTACGTGCCTGCCCAAGATCCCTGGAGGAGGATGGAGGAGAAGGGATCACGGCATGGTCATCCACACTGGGAGAAGATTTCTCACTTTCTGTCTGTCTGTCTTTCTGGTGAGTGCACGTGCTCTATAGTAAAAACCTCTCAAAAATAAATACATACAGAGGAACCAGCAGTTAGCGTAATGGCTATGTTGCTGGACTCCCACGTAGTCGACCGTGGTTCGAATCTCGGACCCGGTGGCTTAAAACTCATGCCAGGCGCGTGTGCGTGCGTGCCCAAGATCCCGAGAGGGGAATGGAGGGAAGGGGTTGCGGCGTGACCATCCCCCCTGGGGGGTGATTTCTCGCTCTCTGTCTCTCTGTCTCTCTCTGTCTGGTGAGCGCACGCGCCCTATAGCGGAAAAAAAAAAAACCCCCCCAAAAAAAAAAAAAAAAAGGTAAAAATAAATATATACATACAATCCTTAGAATGTTCTCAACTCCAAGATGCAGACTCCAAAACGTTAGCACAGAATCTTAGTATCATGTGTTGTCTAAGTTGAAAGGGCCCCAGCATCTCACCAATGAGGAAACAGGCCTACAAAGAGAAGGAAAATGCCCACGGTCCCACAGGGAGTCAGAGGCAGATTGCGTTCCCCTAGGTGCTGTGACCCCCACCCGGGGCTCTCTCCACCACCCCCTCCAGGTCAGGATTGATTCTGCAGAGCCTGCAGACTGAGTGTCTGGGAGGGTTGTGTTTGGAGACCGTCCGGAAGCCTGTTGGGGCGTATCTGGCGTGAGCAGTGCAGTCAGTGTGTGGGGTGTAGCACCCCCACCTACTGTCTCTCTGCCCTCCTTCCTCCTCATCCAGAAATACAGCAACAATTCCTGGCGCTACCTCAGCAACCGACTGCTGGCCCCCAGCGACTCGCCAGAGTGGTTGTCCTTTGACGTCACTGGAGTTGTGCGGCAGTGGTTAAGTCGCAGAGGTGAGGATCGTTTGTCTGCTTCACTCCTGTTTGTCCTGGGCTCACCAGGCTTAGCACCCCAACCCTATTTTGGAACCAAGACCTGGCCTTCCTCCTCAACACTTAAACCTGAGTGATTAACTGATGAATCCATTCATGGTTAATCTGTTTTCTGGGCACCTGCCCTGTGCTAAGTGATGCTGGGGACACAGCAGTGACCAGAATAGCCTCTTGGTCAGGGCTGGGTGAATGAAACCACAGACTGAACCCAGGCAGTGACGATCCAGAGTGGGCAGGGCTGGGACAAGGAGCCTAAAAGAGGTGCCAGACTCAGCCTGGAATCAGGAAGGGCTCCCTGGAGGAGGGGACATCCGACCTGACATCTGAAAGCTGAGTAGAAATAGTCAGGAAAAGGAGGAGGAATGAGTTTCTGAGTGAAGGGACAGCTTGCAAAGGCACTAAGGCCACAGAGTTTGAACATTTGATCTGTCCAAGAGAGGACCAATGCCTTGTTCTGGCTGAGTTCACAGTGCCCCTGTCTCCCTTCCCTGTCTTTCTCATTCGTGCCTTCCATAATGCTGGTTCCACTCATACCAGTTCCATAAACGTGAACCAATTTCTCCTCTGTGCCTGGCCCTGTGCCGGGTGGTATAGGGGAGTAGTGTTAACGACAACCCTGGCTCCAGCCCTCAGGGGGCCCACAGTCACTCTCAGACACCTATGAGGTCTTACCAAAGCCCTACCAGGCAGTAGGGGCTAGAATGATCAAGGCTGGGGTGGGGGGAAGCAGAGGGGTCAGGGCAGGACAGGGGGCATGGGCAGAGGGGTCAGTTCTGAGATGGGGAACACGGACAGAGGGGTGGGGTGGGATGGGAGCATGGGCAGAGGGGTCAGGGTGAGATGGGAGCACGGGCAGAGGTCAGGGGCAGGAGGAGGAAACATGGGCAGAGGGGTCAGGACTGAGATGAGGGGGCATGGGCTCAGGGGTTGGGGCCATCGGACAGGGGCCTGGTGGGATCTTGGTCAATGCTGAGTCCAAGCACCCAACACAGAGTCCAGCACGTAGTAGGAGCTGAGAAAACCTCCTTCCATCTTTCATATGAGAAGTGTCCACCCCCCACCTGCCGTGTGGGAATGTGCCCAGGCTTCTGTTTACATCCCAGCCCCGCCTGTTGCCGTCTGTATGACCTTGGGAAGTCCCTTCCTCTCTGTGTGCCCCAGCTTCCTTGGCTCTCAGATGGGGAGTTTGGGCGAAGGGCGATAATGCACACGGTGCATGGACCAGAGCTGGGTCTCCCGGGAGCACACAGTAGGTGTTTGTAAGACTGGGCTGGCCCCATGCATCCCGCCTTCCTCTGGAAATGCCGGGAGGAAGAATGCCAAGAGGGAGCACGTAGTATGTCCCTGGGGGGGGGGTGTATCCAAGGACCTCCCTGAAGAGGCACCACTGAACTGAGACCCAAGGAGGAGAAGGAGCCAGCAACACAGAACTGGGAAGAAAGCTGCAGCGAGGAGGTTGGGGTGGGGCGGAGCCCCTGGGACTGCTCCCTGCTCCCTCCATCCCTCCCTCTTCCTCCCCTGTCACCATGGCTGGGTGGCTGCACCCTCATACGGGTGTCCTTCTCCCCACTGCCACAGAGGGAATAGAGGGCTTTCGCCTCAGCGCCCACTGCTCCTGTGACAACAAAGACAACACGCTCCAAGTGGACATCAACGGTGAGGCCCGCTGCCCTCACCCAGCCCCGAGCCCAGCAGTGATGCCTGCGTGTGTGTGTGTGTGTGTGTGTGTGTGTGCGTGGGCGGCATTGG